ACTCCAAAAATGTACCAAATGGTAAAGACCATCAACACAATGAAGAAACTGTGTCCACTAATGGTCAAAACAACCAGCTAGTATCAAAATGGCAGGATCAAATTCACACTTAACAATACTAACCTTAAATGTAAACAGGCTAAATGCCCCAATCAAAAGACACAGACTGGCAAATTGGATAGAAAGCCAAGACTCATAGGTGTGCTGTATTCAGGAGACCCACTCACATGCAAAGACACACACAGACTCAAAATAAAGGGATGGAGGAAGATTTACCAAGCAACTGGAGAGCAAAAAAAAAGGGGGGGGGGTTGCAATCCTAATTGCTGATAAAATGCACTTTAAACCAACAAAGATCAAAAGAGACAAAGAAGGGCATTGCGTAATGGTAAAAGGATCAATGCAACAAGAAGGGCTAACTATCCTAAATATATATGTACCCAATACAGGAGCACCCAGATACATAAAGCAAGTTCTTAATGACTTACAGAGACTTAAACTCCCACACAATAATAGTGGAAGACATTAACACTCCACTGTCAATATTAGCTCAACAAGGCAGAAGATTAATAAGGATATCCAGGACTTGAATTCAAATCTGGACCAAGTGGAACTAGCAGACATCTACAGAACTCTCCACACCAAATCCACAGAATATACATTCTTCTCAGCACCACATCGCACTTACTCTAAAATTGACCACATAATTGGAAGTAAATCACTCCTCAGCAAATGCAAAAGAACAGAAATAATAACAACCAGTCTCTCAGACCACAGTGCAATCAAATTAGAACTCAGGATTAAGAAACTCACTCAAAACTGCACAGCTACATGGAAACAGAACAACCTGCTCCTGAATGACTACTGGATAAATAATAAAATGAAGGCAGAAATAAAGATGTTCTTCAAAAATAATGAGAACAAAACCACAACATACCAGAATCTCTGGGACACATTTAAAGCAGGGTCTAGAGGGAAATTTATAGCACTACATGCCCACATGAGAAGTGAGGAAAGATCTAAAATTGACACCCTGTCATCACAATTAAAAGAGCTAGAGGAACAAGATCAAACAAATTCAAAAGCTAGCAGAAGACAAGAAATAACTAAGATCAGAGCAGAACTGAACGAGATAAAGACACAGAAACCCCTTCAAAGATTCAAAAAATCCAGGAGCTGGTTTTTTTTAAAAAAAGATCAACAAAATAGACAGACAGCTAGCCAGACTAATAAAAAAGAAAAGAGAGAAGAATCAAATAGATGCAATAAAAAAGGATAAAGGGGATATCACCATCGATTCCACAGAAATACAGACTACCATCAGAGATTACTACAAACACCTCTATGTACATAAACCAGTAAATCTAGAAGAAATGGATAAATTCCTGGACACTTACACACTCCCAAGTCTAAACCAAGAACAAATTGAATCCGTGAATAGACCAATAACAAGGTCTGAAGTTGGGGCAGCAATTAATAGCCTACCAACAAAAAAAGCCCAGGTCCAGATGAGTTCACAGCCGAATTCTACCAGACGTACAAAGAGGAGCTGGTACCATTCCTTCTGAAACTACTCAAAAGAATACAGAAAGGGGGAAGCCCCCCTAACTCATTTTATGAGACTAACATCATCTTGATACCAAAACCTGGCAGAGGCAGAACTAAAAAAGAAAATTTCAGGCCAATATCCATGATGAACATTGATGCAAAAATCTTCAATAAAATACTGGCAAAGCGAATGCAATAGCACATCAAAAAGCTTATTTATCATGATAAAGTCAGCTTCATGCTGGGGATGGAAGGCTGGTTGAACAGACACAAATCTGTAAACATAATCCATCACATAAAACCAAAGACAAAAATCACATGATTATCTCAATAGATGCAGAGAAGGCCTTTGACAAAATTCAACAGCCCTTTATGCTAAAAACTCTCAATAAACTAGGTGCTGATGGAGCATATCTCAAAATAATAAAAGCTATTTATGACAAACCTACAGCCAACATCATACTGAATGGACAATAACTGGAAGCATTTCTTTTGAAAACTGGCACTAGACAAAAGTGCCCTCTGTCACCACTCCTATTCAGCATAGTATTGGAAGTTCTAGCCAGGGCACTCAGGCAGGAAAAAGAAATAAAGAGTATTCAATTAGGAAAAGAGGAAGTCCAATTGTCTCTTATTTGCAGATGACATGATTGTATACTTAGAAGACCCCATCATCTCAGCCCAAAATCTCCTTAAGATGATAAGCAACTTGAGCAAAGTCTCAGGATACAAAATCAATGTGCAGAACTCACAAGCATTCCCATACACCAATAACAGACAAAGAGCCATATCATGAGTGAACTCCCATTCACAATTGCTACAAAGAGAATAAAATACCTAGGAATACAACTAACAAAGGACGTGAAGGACCTCTTCAAGGAGAACTACAAACCACTGCTCAAGGAAATAAGAGGACACAAACAGATAGAAAATCACTCCATGCTCATGGTTCGGAAGACTCAGTATCATGAAAATGTCCATGCTGCCCAAAGTAATTTATAAATTCAATGCTATCCCATCAAGCTACCATTGACCTTCTTCACAGAACTGGAAAAAAAAAAAAAACACCTTAAACTTTATATGGAACCAAAAAAGAGTCCACATAGCCAAAACAATCCTAAGCAAAGAAAACAAAGCTGGAGGCATCACACTACCTGACTTCAAACTATACTACAAGGCTACAGTAATCAAAACAGCATGATACCAGTATCAAAACAGAAATATAGACCAATGGAACAGAACAGAGACCTCAGAAGTAATGCCACACATCTGCAACCATCTGATCCTTGACAAACGGCACAAAAACAAGCAATGAGGAAAGGATTCCCTATTTAATAAATGGTGTTGGGAAAACTGACTAGCCATGTGTAGAAAGCTGAAACTGGACCCCTTCTTTACACCTTATACAAAAATTAACTCCAGATAGATTAAAGATTTAAACTTAAGACCTAATAGCATACAAACCCTAGAAGAAAACCTAGGCAAAACCATTCAGGACATAGGAATAGACAAGGATTTCATGATGAAAACACCAAAAGCAATGACAACAAAAGCCGAAATAGACAAATGGTATCTGATTAAACTAAAGAGCTTCTGCACAGGAAAAGAAACAATCATTAGCATGAACCAGCAACCAACAGAGTGGGAAAATTTTTTGCAAGCTACGCATCTGACAAAGGGCTAATATCCAGAATCTACAAAGAACTAAAACAAATAAGCAAGAAGAAAAACAACAACCCCATCCAAAAGTTGGCAAAGGATATGAACAGACACTTTTCAAAAGAAGACATTTATGCAGCCAACAAACATGAAAAAATGTTCATCATCACTGGTCATTAGAGAAATGCAAATCAAAACCACATTGAGATACCATCTCATGCCAGTTAGAATGGTGATTATTAAAAGATCTGGAGATCACCTTAAACTCACATTTGGAACCAAAAAGAGCCCACATAGCCAAGACATCTCCAACAGATGCTGGAGAGGATGTGGAGAAATAGGAATGCTTTTACATTAGTGGGAGTGTAAATTAGTGTGGCAATTCCTCAAGGATCTAGAACTAGAAATATCATTTGATCCAGCAATCCCATTACTGGGTATATACACAAAGGATTATAAATAGTTCTGTTATAAAGACACATGCACATGTATGTTCACTGCGGCACTGTTTACAATAGCAAAGACTTGGAACCAACCCAAACGCCCATCGATGATAGACTCAATAACGAAAATGTGGAACATATACACCATGGAACACTACGCAGCTATAAAACAGGATGAGTCCATGTCCTTTGCAGGGACATGGATGAATCTGGAAGCCATCCTTCTCAGCAAAATGACACAAGAACACAAAACCAAACACCAGATGTTCTCACTCTTAAGTGGTGTTGAACAATAAGAACACATGGACGTAGGGAGGGGAACATCACACACTGGGGTCTGTTGGGGGTGGGAGGCTAGGGGAGGGATAGCAGAGGGGGCCGGAAATTGGGGAGGGATAACATTAGGAGAAATACCTAATGTAGGTGACATGGGGATGGAGGCAGCAAACCACCATGGCATGTGTATACCTATGTAACAGTCCTGCAAGATCTGCACATGTACCCCAGAACTTAAAGTAAAATTTTTTTTTAAACTTCATTATGAAAAAAAAAAAAAAAAAAGAAACCACCCACATGATCTACTCACCTCCCACCAGACCCACCCCCATCTCAATTCAATGTAAGATTTGGGTGGGGACACAGAGCCAAACCATATCAGCCAGCATGGTCAGATTCTGGTGAGGGCCCTCTCTTGGTTCACAGACAGCTGTCTGCTCTTTGTATCCTCAGATGGCAAGGAAAAAGAAAGAGAGAGAAAACAAAGTCTCTGAAAGCTCTTATATAAGGGCACTCATCCCATTCATGAGAGCTTCACTCTCATGACTTAATTACCTCCCAAAGGCCCCACTTCATATGCTGTCACACTGGGGTTTAGGCTTGACATATGCATTTGTTGGGAGGGACATAAACATTCAGTCCTTAACAGTCACTAAGTAAGTTCAAGCCCCATTCTCTTAAAAAAATAGAACAAATTTGGCAACTGAGTGAATGAAAGAAATAATATTTCTATTTCTTTGTGTCAAGAAATAGAAAGGAACCACTGGCTAATGCAAAAAAAAGTTGTTTGAAATTCCCTTATTAGTAATAAGTATTTGTTATAATAAGAGAGATTTCTTACGTTTTTAACAATAAGTGACAAATTCTGTATTTTCCTAGCCAAAATTAGAGATGGTAAAAAATCCAATATAAGTGATTTCACACCTTTTTTGTTGTTGTTTTCCCTAATCAGTAAGGAATGGACTTACTGGTTTTTTTTTTCCAGAATGAAAATGTACAAATGAAAAAAGTCTTCTTTGTTTTATTTTAAAATGAAGAATATTTTTTAATGTTTGTCTCCCTACTTTTTAAAAGGAATTTAGAGCAAAGTCAAGAGAATGGGACAAGCAAGAGATACTGTATCAGACTCATCTGATTTCTTTAGATGCTCAACAAAAATTATTATCTGAGAAGTGTAATCAGTTTCAGGTAAGTTAATTAATACTAGTTTAAATCAGAAGAAAGTGGAGGTTAGATATTTGTATCTTTACCATTCAGCATGTAATCTACTTACGAATAGAAATGCCAATTAAAAAAAAGTAACTAGAGTAGGTCCAAAGGTGGGTATAGTCATAAGTGAACAGAATATCTGTTAATGCTGAATTTAGTCTACATGTCTCAAAGGATGGAGCTATTTAAAATTCCATTGTTATTGTGTCATTAAATAGCATATGTTTTTGTATGCCTACAGGCAAGGCACTCAGTCTAGGATTGCTTGCTTTACTTTGTATTTTCCTGGCTACTTTTAAGACTTAGCATCTCCACATATGATTTTTAGGCTTTCTCACATATTTCTGTGAATTGCCTATTCATAAACTTTGCCTATTTTTCTTTTGTGCTGTTTGCCCTTTTCTTATTGATGTGTAGAAGTGTTTGTACATTAGGACTTATTAATTCTGTTCCATGCACTGACAACTTTTCCCCTACAATTGAATTTTTTATTTTATTTATTTTTGGTTATAGAGACTTTTTTCAACCATTGTATAATTGAATTCATATTTTTCTTTTTACACCTTCTAGATTTTTTTCTTGCTTAATACGGCTTTTCTATCACTAACCCACTTCCTTACTCTACATCTTTACTCTGAGGTTATACAAATATATTTTCTCTTTATGCCATCTGAAATTGAAATTTTAAAACAAATACAAGACTGAAATTACAAAGGACCAACTTTCATTATCTAGTAACATATTTAAAGATATTCCTACTAATTCTTTTCTATCATTCTTGAACTTCATGTAAGCTTAAATATGACATTCTTCATTTTAGTTACACACTTTTTATATTTTTCAGAAACAGGCACAAAGTTATCACACTCAACTAAATGGTAAAAAACAATGCTTAGAAGACAGCAGCTCTGAAATTCCTCATTTGATACGTGACCCAGATCCCAATTGTGAAATCAGTGAAAGAGATGAGTTCATTATTGAAAAACTAAAATCAGCTGTTAGTGAAATAGCACTAAGCAGGAATAAATTACAAGATGAAAATCAGAAGCTCTTGCAAGAACTGAAAATGTACCAAAGACAGTGCCAGGTAAAGATTAATTTTTTGTTTTTCAACTTATATTGTCCATGACTTGTTATAAATGCCAACTCAACAGATGTCGGTATTAGAATGGCAGTTTTCTATCATTAATACATGTGAAGATTCTGTTCATATTTCTCCCCAGTAATTCACACTTAATGAGTAGATTCAATAATTCCGTAAGTATTTAACACACTTAGAGTGCACTTTGGTTTCACATTGGCATAATAATAATGTATTATCAGCACAATATAACAGTGGTCACTTACAGACCTCTATGCCTTTAGCCACGTACCACCCTCTTCCCCTACTATTTTCTCTGACCCTGTGTCTCTTTGACTCAGAAGAATCCTGGGTTAAAGATACAGGAAATCATGAAGGATTCAACAATCTAGTAACCTCAATGGGAGCTATGGAGGTGACTTGAGTGATCTATCACTGGTAACCTTATCATAATCATTTATAGAACAGTAACCTAGAATTTATTTTTAGGTAACTTTCACATTGGCAAATATAATTGATGGTTTAACCAAGCATTAATTTTTTTCTTAACCCAATAATGCTTTTTTCTTTTTTGTCTATTTCTTGCAATCATTAGGAAGGTTATACAGCATTCATAAAAATTGGTCATTACCAATTTCTTTACAAAGTATGTATTTCTTATTCATTAGTACTTGAAACATTCTTTTATCTCCCATTTTAGGTTTTTTCTCCCATCTCCAAATATTCAGCCTCTTTTTACCACTTCCTCCATGACATCTCTTTTCCCCACTCAACTACCTCCTCTTAACATACATGATTGAGGTGAGATCACTGCCTGAAAACTTCCATTTCATTTTGCTGAGATACACCACCCCAGGATCTTTTGCCACTTAAACTCCCAGGGTCATTTCTTAATCCTGGATCAACTCCTCATTCCCCTACCCTGCCACATTATATCTGGGATTATATATAGAGTTAGTTCTTTAACTTCTTTCTCTGCCAGAATCTACTGTTCTATGCTCCTCTTTCTACATGTTTGGGAAGGGACAGAACACAAGGCTCCAGTCTCTCCTATTTAGAGGTGATTCTAAGACATACATATATCCCACCTCAAACTCCAGCTTTAAGGAGGGAGGTCTTATTCTGATACAAGTTAGAATACAGACGTAAACCAACAAAGCAAGCTAAACTGCAAGCACTAAATGCAGAGAAAGCCAGACATTGTCTCGAAATAGAAAAGGTGTTGATGGTGTTTTCTCTGCCTTCATTCTAATGTAAATGAGGTTAGCACTCATTCTTCTGCTCTTGGGGTTGCCTAGAGGCTTCTAAGTGTTTAGCATCATCCCTTCTCTGACTGTCTGAGCTGTGTTTGCAGGACTGCCAATTGTGCAGTGATGGGGTCTTTCCTTCTCAGAGGCTGCTGCCTTTTGCTTCCCTGGCTATATGACAACTGATCATGCCTTCCATTTAAAGGCAACCTAAACTTAAATTTTGCAGCTGTCTTTATACTGCTGGAATCTGCATCAGAATCGCATCCAGTAAATAAGAAAATTGTTTTTCTTGGTACTTCCTAAGTATTCTCCTCTAGGCTTTAGGTCATCCAATGCAAACTAAAGCATTCTCTGCTTTGTCCCTTCTTTTGACAGCGGAAAAGGTGGTGGTTGGTTACATGAATAAGTTATTTACTGGTGATTTCTGAGATTTTGGTGCATCCATCACCTGAATAGTGTACACTGTACCCAATTTGTAGTATTTTATCTATCACCCCCCCCGACCCTTTCCCCTGAGTCCTCCAACATCATTCTTATGCCTTAGCATCCTAATAGTTTAGCTCCCACTTATGAGTGAGAACATAAGTAGGAGCCATAACCAAATGATGTTTGGTTTTCCATTCCTGAGTTACTTCACTTATAATAATGGTCTTTAATTCCATCCAGGTTGCTGTGAATGCCATTGTTTCTTTCTATGGCTGTGTAGTGTTCCATGATAAGTATATGCCACATATTCTTTATCCACTCATTGATGATAGACATTTGGGCTGGTTCCATATTTTTGCAATTGCAAATTGTGCTGCTATAAATATGCGTGTTTAAGTATCTATTTCATATCATGACTTCTTTTCCAATGGGTAGATACCTAGTAGTTAGATTGCTGGATCAAATGGTAGATCTACTTTTAGTTCTTCGAGAATGTCCACACTGTTTTCTATAGTGGTTGTACTAGTTTACATTCCTACCAGCAGGGTAAAAGTGTTCCCTTTTCACCACATCCACACTCACATCTATTATTTTATTTTTATTTTTTTTATTATGGCCATTCTTGCAGGAGTAAGGTGGTATTGCATTGTGGTTTTGATTTGCATTTCCCTAATAATTAGTGATGGTGAGCATTTTTTCATGTTTGTTGGCCATTTGTACATCTTCTTTTGGGAACTGTCTATTCACGTCCTTAGCCCACTTTTTAATGGGACCATTTTTTCTTCCTGATTTGTTTGAGTTCCTTATAGATCCTGGATAGCAGTCCTTTGTCAGATGTATGATTTGTGAAGATTTTCTCCCACTCTGTGGGTTATGTGTTTACCCTACTGATTATGTATTTTGCTGTGTGGAAGCTTTTTAGTTTAATTAGGTCCCATCTATTTATCTTTGTTTTGTTGCATTTGCTTTTGGGTTCTTAGTTATGAAGTCTTTGCCTATGCCAATGTCTAGAAGGGTTTTTCAAGTGTTATTTTCTAGAATCTTTATGTTTCAGATCTTAGATTTAAGTCTGGATCCATCCTGAATTGATTTTTGTATAAGGTGAGAGATGAGGATCCAGCTTCATTCTTCTCCATGTGGCTTACCAATTATTCCAGCACCGTATGTTGAACAGGGTGCTCTTTCCAGACATTATGTTTTTGTTTGCTTTGTCAAAGACTGGCTGTATTTGACTTTATTTCTGGGTTCACTATTGTGTTCCATTGGTCCATGTGCCTATTTTTATACCAGTACCATGCTGTTTTGGTGACCATGGTCTTATAGTATAGGGTATTTGGTAATTTGATGCCTCCAGATTTGTTCTTTTTGCTTAGTCTTGCTTTAGCTATGCAGGCTCTTTTTTGGTTCCCTATGAATTTTAGGATTTTTTTTTCTAATTCAGTGAAGAATTATGGTAGTATTTTTATGGGAATTGCATTGAATTTGAAGATTGATTTTGGCAGAACAGTCAGTTTTACAATATTGATTCTACCCATCCATGAGACGGGATGTGTTTCCATTTGCGTCATCTGTGATTTCCTTCAGTAGGGTTTTGTAGTTTTCCGTGCAGAGGTCTTTCACCTCTTTGGGTAGGTATATCCCTAAGTATTTCTTTTGGGGTTTTTTTTGTGTTTTTGTTTTGTTTTGTTTTGTTTTGTTTGAGTCTTTAGTTGATGCTCAGCTCAGTCACTGTTGATATATAGCAATACCACTGATTCATGTGCACTGATTTTGTATCCTGAAACTTTACTGAATTTATTTATCAGTTCTAGGAGCTTTTTGGATGAATCTTTAGGGTTTTCTAGGTATACAATCATGTCATTGGTCGACAGAGACAGTTTGACTTCCTTTTTACCAATTTGGATGCCCTTTATCTCTTTCTCTTATCTGATTGCTCTGGCTTGGACTTTCAGTACTGGGTTGAATAGACGTGCTGAGAGTGGGCATCCGTGTCTTCTTCCAGTTCTCAGGGAGAACGCTTTCAACTTTTCCCCATTCAGTATAATGTTGGCTGTGGGTTTGTCATAGATGGCTTTTATTACCTTAAGGTACATTTCTTCCATGCCAATTTTGCTGAGGGTTTTAATCCTAAAGGGATGCTACATGTTGTCAAATGCTTTTTCTGTGTCTATTGAGATGATCATGTGATTTTTGTTTTTAATTCTTTTTATGTGGTGTATTGCATTTATTGACTTACATGTTAAACCATCCCTACATCCCTCATATGAAAACCACTTGATCATGGTGGATTACCTTTGTGATTCAGTTAGCTAGTATTTTGTTTAGAGGTTTTGCATCTATGTTCTTCAGGAATATTGGTCTAGTTTTCTTTTTCTCTCACATCCTTCCTGGTTTTGATATTAGGGTGATACTGGCTTTATAACATGATTGAGGGGTGGATTCCCTCTTTCTCTATCTTTTAGAATAGTGTCAATAAAACTGATACCAATTCTTCTTTGAATGTTTGATAGAATTTAGCTGTGAATCTGTCTGGTCCTAGACTTTTTTTTGTTGACAATTTTCATATTGCCATTTTTTTCTTTTCTTTTCTTTTCTTTCTTTCTTTCTTTATTTATTTATTTTTATTTTGGACAGTGTCTCGCTCTGTCGCCCAGGCTGGAGTGCAGTGTCACAATGTTGGCTCACTGCAACCTCCACCCCCCAGGTTCAAGTGATTCTCCTTCCTCACCCTCCTAAGTAGCTGGGATTACAGGTACCCACCACCACACCTGGCTAATTTTTGTATTTTTTAGTAGAGACAGGGTTTCCCCATGTTGGTGAGGCTTGTCTCAAACTCCTGAGCTCAGATGATCTGCCCGCCTTGGCCTCCAAAAGCACTGGGATTCAGGCATGAGCCACTGCACCCAGCCTATATTACCATTTCAATCTCCTTGCTTGCTATTGATCTATTCGGAGTTTCGGTTTCTTCCTGGTTTCATCTAGGAGGGTTGTATATTTCCAGGAATTTATCCACCTTCTCTAGGTTTTCTAGTTTGTGCATGTAAAGGTGTTCATAGTAGCCTTGAGTGTTCTTTCGTATTTTAGTAGTCAGTTGGAATATCTCCTGTTTCATTTTTAATTGAGCTTATTTGGATCTTCTCTCTTCTTTTTTTGGTTAATCTTGCTCATGGTCTATCAATTTTGTTTACTTTTTTTTTTTTTTTTTTGAGATGGAGTTTCCCTCTTATTGCCCAGGCTGGAGAGCAATGGCATGATCTCGCCTCACTGCAATCTCCACCTCCTGGGTTCAAGCAATTCTCCTGTCTCAGCCTTCCGAGTAGCTGGGATTAT